TATGGCATATTATATACATCATTTTTGATAAATTTTGAAATGTGTGTAGCATGTACATTACATATTTCATTCCTCTGCGTACCACTAGAAGGAAGCCTGCGTACCACTAGTGGTACACGTACCACAGTTTGAGAACCACTGACCTACAACATAATAGTTCAGTACGTTTAAGACTTTTTAAGGCCTAAAATTTGGATTTTGAGATTTAAGACTGCAGAAACCCTGTATAATTCATTCATTCATTTTCTTGTCGACTTAGTCCCTTTATTAATCCGGGGTCGCCACAGCGGAATTAACCGCCAACTTATCCAGCAAGTTTTTACGCCCTTACAGCCACAACCCATCTCTGGGAAAGAAACCCTGTATCATTGTGCCATAAACTGAACCATAAACCTAAAATCATTAAGGTGACAATATTTGATTTATAAATGAACTAAAATTATTTTTTAAATTGTTTATTGTATTACCTGATGTATAGTTTAATATTAAACATAAGTATTGCAATAAATATAATGAGTATAAGAGTAATTGATGCAATGAATTCATTTATTTCCTTTATTCTACACACAAAATCCCATAATGACAATGTAAAAAATATTTTTTGAAAGTGGTGCAATATTAATAAAAAGAAAAAAACAGAAAAATCACAGCTTTTGCTCAATACTTTGTAGATGCACCTTTGGCAGCAATTACCACCTCAAGTCTTTCTGAATATGATGCCACAAGCTTGTCACACCCTTGTCTTTGGAAATTTTTGGCCATTCCTCTTTGCAGTTTCTCTCAAGCTCTATCAGGTTGGATAGGAAGCGGTGCTGTACAGCCGTTTTCAGGTCTCCAGAGATGTCCAATAGAATTTAGGTCTGGGCTCTGGCTGGGCCACTCAAGGACATTCACAGAGTTGTTGTGAAGCCGCTCCATTGATATTTTGGCGGTGTGCTTTGGGTCATTGTCCTGATGGAAGATGAAATGTCATCCTAGTCTGGGGTCCAGAACATTCTGAAGCAGGTTTTCATTCAGGATGTCTCTGTACATTGCTGCATTCATCTTTCCCTCTATCCTGACTAGTCTTCCAGTTCCTGCGGGTGAAAAACATCCCCACAGCATGATGCTGCCACCACCATGCTTCACTGTAGGGAGGGTATTAGCCTGGTGATGAGCGGTGCCTGGTTTTCTCCAAACGTATTGCCTGGCATTCACTTCAAAGAGTTCAGTTTTAGTCTCATCAGACCAGAGAATTTAGTTTCTCATGGTCTGAGAGTACTTCAGATGCCTTTTGGCAAATTCCAGGCGGGGAGTGGCTTCAGTCTGGCCACTCTACCATAAAGGCCTGATTGGTGGATTGCTACATAGATTGTTATTTTTCTATAAGGGCCTGCTCACACTATGCTATCCGAACCGTGCCTAGGCCTGTTTACCAGATCGTTTAAGAAGTGTGAGTGCACTGAATCGGGCTCTGAATCTACACTGTGCTGAGCGAACGTGCTTACTAAACAGTGCATCATCGATGACGTAAGCATGCCCAGGCCCGAATGTAATGTGAGTGCGGGCCGTCGGGGGAGACTGGAGGGGGGACAAGCATGCTTTGGCCCGGTTCAAGGCAACTGTACATAGTGTGAGTACGCCCTAAGGTTCTCCTCTGACCACTGAAGAACGCTGGAGCTCAGACAGAGTGACCATTGGGTTATTGATCACCTCCCTGACTAAGGCCCTTCTCCCCCGATCACTCAGCTTAAATGGAGTCCTGGTGGTTAAACATCTTCCACTTACAGATGATGGAGGCAACTGTGCTTAATGTAACTTTCAGAGCAGAATTAATTTTTCTGTAACCTTCCCCTGCTTTGTGCTTCGAAACAATCCTGTCTCAGAGGTCTACAGAACATTCCTTCGTCTTCATGCTTGCTTTGTGCTTTGTAATGCATTGTCAACCCTGGGGCCTCATATAGAAGTCACAGTTGTAGGTTTGTTGGCACTCCTGAGAGTCTGTTTGGTCATATGGTTTTGTTTTGGTGTTCCACATGTATCTGTTACGTCAGTGTTTTGTCACTTGCTATGGCAGAGCCTATGCTCTCCTGATTAGCCTGTTGGCTGCGGTTCGTTATCTCGGCTACATCTGGACAGCGCTCTTCTTGTCTCTTGTCAGTTTGTTGTTGGTCGTTCATGTATTTTCTGTCTATTATTAGGAATGGCGCCGATATATCTTTGGACCCTTGATCCGCTATTCTGTACCACACCCTGTCTCCCGTTTCTGTATATGCGTGACCTCTTCTATATACCTTTGTGTTGTTTATTTCCATTTGGACTTGTTTCCCCTTGTTCCCCTAGTTTTTTCTTGAAATTGGATCCTATTCTAGTACTCATTTCTACCCATGACAATGGGCAGGTGTACGCCTTTTCAAATCATGTCCAATCAACTGAATTTATCACAGGTGAACTCCAATTAAGCTGCTGAAACATTTCAAGAATGATCAGTGGAAACAGAATGTACTTGAGCTCAGTTATGTACATGTGATTTTTCAGGTTTTTTATTTTTAAATTTGCAATAATTAAAAGAAAAAATCACATTGTCATTATGGGGTATTGTATGTAGAATTTTAAGGAAATAAATGTATTTAATCCAATTTGGAATGAGGATGTAACATAAAAAATGTGGAAAAGGTGAAGCTCTATTAATACTTTCCGGATGCACTCTATTTAATTAACACTTATTTTTATTGTAGCATTTTACAATAATGTTGTAATTTATTTACTAACATGAATAAATAATGAACAGTACATTTATTACAGTATTTATTCATCCTTGTTAATGGAAATACAGTTGTTTGTTGTTAGTTTAGTACATTAGCTAACGTCAACAAGCATTGATTTGAATTTTAATAATGTAAATTTTTAACTGATAAATCAAAAAACGCTGTACGAGTATTGTTTATTCATGTTAGCAAATAGATGAACTAATGAAACCTTATTGCAAATCATGAAACTTTTTGTGTATTACAGTGTATTTTTGTGTATCCGCTTGTTAAGTGGTGACGTGTTTGTGACGTATGTAATACTGTTTCCGGGTCCAAGCCGCCACTCATTTGAGTGGAGAAATCATTCGTTTATGATCACGTTTTATTCCTATCACACATTAAAGTTCATTTTAAATAGAATCATAGTGTACACAGCAATCTCTGGGCTTGCTGCATAACAAATACCAAAAATGTAACAATTTATAAAAAAATAATCACTTTCTGGCCATCGGAAATTAGGCATGAACATATATACTGCGAACGCGATTTTCGAAAGCCTTAAATCGCTTTGTAAACCTTTATTATTACCATTTCATCAGTCTCCCCATACAGTTGAATAGAACGCTTGGACCCGGAAGCGGCTTCGCGTGACGTCACACTTAACAAGCGGATTAGCTCGGTCACGTCACACCAACATAGGAAAATAATTTAGGGTTGTTTTAACACCTTCTACCTATGTAAACGCAACTCCCCATTTGACATTATTTCAGACCTGAAAACATGTGTGAGCATGGGGACCTTCATGTAAATTGTTCTTCTGTTTATTTGCCAATTCAGGTTGTTCATTAACATTAACTGTCCGATCAGCTCATGCCCAGTGCCTAATTATGAGCAGATGTGTCCAGTAGATGGTTATTTAATTAGTTATGGAGAAGTTGACACACTTTATCACTTTGGGAATTTCTGATGATCCCCAAGCTCATTACTGCTCATTGTTGTCACTGCTTGGATTAGAGTTGGGAGTAAGGATAATAAGTGTAATGTGTTTCAGCATATTATCGCCCTGTGCCCTCTTATGTTAAACAATCTATAAGAAATATATGAATAATTTATTTTCCCGGGGATTTAATAAATTACCTGAAAAATACTAGAAGTTTATTGGAGGCTGCTTTCATCGAAAATGCAACATAGCAAATTCATATACTGTCATCTTTGGAAAAGATACAGTATAGGACTACAGTATTGGTGTAATGTTCTAAATTAACTTCCTAAATACATTATGCAGTATAAAGGATTTTTTAAAAATGATTTTACCTTCATCCTATGCATTAATAGACTAATCCTAACAGATTCATTCTGTTTTAACTAATTACATGAACTTATGCTGATGTGTTTATCCTCAAATAACCCTATGTGCTTAACTTCATTTAATTTAGCTCCATAACAGCTGTGCTTTGGTGTAACTGATAACCAAGATAACTCCTCTGTACTTGTTATCAATGGAATGTTACATCTCCAGAGTGTGCTCATTTACTGGAACAGTCATGGACGGGAGGGGCTCAAACTCACCCTATTGCAGGCTTTGTTATGTGGATGTGTAATATTTTCTGTGTAGATGTGATGTTCTGCCTCACAACTGATGATTGAACTAATCTGGATGAAGGATCTTTCTTCCAGAAGCGCCCTAAAGAGAGTGTGGGTGTGTGTGCGCCCAGCTGACACAGACTGTCTGGGTTGCTGTTCTCTGACACCCGGAGCACTGTAATGCTTTATTCATCTAATTAATGAAGTTGTTTAAACTTATTTAAAGCCTCTGGCGGATTTTTTAACATGAGAGGACTAGCAATAGTCCAACAATTACAACTATTACAAAACATTTTACATTTTGGTTTGCTTTGAAAATATGATACAATAATATATTATATTATTATAAATAATAACAATATTATAATAATATAATATTATATTATTATTATAATTATTATATTATATTATTTAAAATATTGTTACAATATCTAGTATCTAACCTAGTATCTAACTCTGTTTTAGGAGCAAAATAATAACTTAATTTTTAGCATGATTGATTTGTAATTCTTTGAAATATTTTATTTTCATAGAAATGTCATAAAAAAAAATCAATTTCTTACAGACAATTCAGTTTCTCCTCAAAACAGAGCAAACAGAGCTGCACTTAGTTTGTAAATTAAAACCACGATTAACAAAATTTTTCCTTTTTTTTTACCAAGATTGATACTCATAGTGAGACTTAAGTTCCACTGGGTGAGTAGATAACAGAACAGCATCGTTTATTTGTTTATAATCGAACATTAAAATACACCTTCATACATTGCTTAGAAAGCTTAGATTAATAGAAAAATTGTCAAATTGAAAGATTTCTCGGGCAATCAATTCCTTATAGTTGAAACCTTTACAATGGAAACTTTGTTGATTTTATTTTTAAAAATCTTAAACAAAGCAGTCCTTATTTCTTTTGTCCGCACACCATAGATGATTGGATTGACACTTGCAGGAAATACTATATACATAACACCTAGAAACGTATTAACATCAATCGGGATTGGAATGTTCAGGTTTCTTGACAGAAAGGTTACACTACCGACAAAGTAAAAACATATCATGACCATTAAGTGTGTACCACAGGTATGAAAAGCTTTCCAGCGATCCTCTCCAGCTGCAGTTCCCAACACAACATGCAGGATTTTCACATAGGAGAAGAATATAACAGATGTATCGATTCCCACAAAACAGATAATCACAATTAACCCCATTGTTTGATTTTGAGCTATTGAATCACAGGCCAAGCTGACAAGAGCCATGTGGTCGCAGTAACAGTGATAGATTACATTAGACCCACAGAAAGACAAAGGTGAAGCAAGAGCGACCAGTGTGGACATTATTGTGCCACTCCTGATCAGTGTGAAAAGAAACAGCTTCAAAAACATGGACGAGTTCATGATTTCATTGTAATGCAACGGCTTGCAAATGGCCACAAAGCGATCCAAAGCCATGGCTAAAAGTATGGTGGACTCAACAGAAGAAAAGAAATGAGTGACAAACATTTGCGTCAAACATCCGGATAAAGTTATCTCATTCAAGTCAAACAGAAAACCAAGAAGCATTGCCGGGATAATGGCAGTGGAAACAATGATATCCACAACTGCCAAAGCAGACACAAAAATGTACATGGGACTGTGAAGACTCTCTGTACTTTTGATCACAAAAAGCAGCAAAGAATTCCCGACCAGAAGCAAAAGGTAAGTTAGGAAGAATGGCAGGAAAAGAAAACGTCTGTATTTGTAGATCTCTGGAAATCCCGTTAATAAAAACTTTGTGTGCGAGAAGTTTGCTCCTTGGAGTTCCTCAGTCATGGCACATTGAATGTGGTCGGCGCAACCTATTTTAAATTACAAAATGTAAGTAAATGCATGAGCAAAATTATTAGATCGTTCATATGATTGAAAAACGAAATCTAGATTGTAATACAGCAGCCAACCATTGGGTTTGTCCATACATTACCCAACTTTGGGTTGAAACAATCCACCATTTTGTAGAGTGTAGACGAAATTTTGTAACTTACACAGAATTTCTTACACAGAAAAATATCATCTCTGGCTTCTCCAACAGTTCCAACAACTAAATTCTCCTGTCATTTTAAGAACAAACTGCCTCTTAGATACAGTACAGTCTATTTAAAAATAGGTCAAATGTTTGACAATTATTCGAAATAGTTTTGTTTGTACAAAAGTAATGGTTAGTAAAACCAATGCATTTGTAAAACAACAACAACTTAATATTGAAGATTAATATTGGACAATCAACATTCTCCAGTCAATCAATAATCCACAATATCGACAACTTTCAAAAACAAAGAGAAGTCATTTTCATTTTATTAATTTTGCATATTATTATTTGTCAGTTTTTACAATTACATAAAAATGTATACAATTGCTGCAGGGCGAAACATACCTGCCAGAGTGTCTGATGTTTGGTCTTTCGTCAATAGAGCTGGACCCCCATTAACATTTGAAGCCATTGGAATGGGAGCATTTATACATTTGATCTCTGCTCCCATAGGAACACAACAAACTGTACAGCCATTGACCTCTTCTACGTTCTAATGACCTCACACTCCATCCACTCAGACAAGCTGATGAAGGTATTGTTCCAGGAAGAACGAAGCAATTACTTGATCATTTTTGACTGGGTTAATTAGTTCTGCTGAAGGCAGTTATGCTTGTTTTTAATTGCGATAGCATAGTTAGTTCAAGTGGAACAGAATAATTAGCTAGAATTTTGTAAAAGGAGTAAGCAGAAAGTTATTAGTTTTTTTTTTATTTTGCTTTAAGTGTGCAGTAAGGCAACATTACAAGGCAATGTAAATGTAAAAAAAAATCATTTTAAAAATGTATTCTTCCTGAAAATGAAATAAAACAAGCATTCCCTTGAGTATTGGAGGGAATAGACTATGTTAAATGTGCATGTTACCACAATTAGTACGTGTTCTGATTTAAATGTTAATGAATTGGAACTTTAACATTACATTGAAATCATGCTACAAGTAGGCTGTTACATTTACAGACATAACTAAATTTACTAGTACCTAAAAAAGCTGTTAGATGCTGCAAGCTTCAAAAATGATAATAGATTGCTTTGAGAAACATAGCCTGGACTACAGAAATAATTGTGTGTGGTGAGGGGGCGTGGCCGAGAGCCGTGGGAACGGAGTGAGGCCACCGCGTAAGTGGATAGGAGGGAAGGAGCTCTGGACCATAAAAGGAGGACCGATGGCAGAAGAAGCTGAGAGAGGAACGGGCCCGGACATATTTTACTTTTGCTTTCAGTTTGACGGCAGTCTCTGTAAGGAGCTGCCGTCCGTTTGTTTTGGTTTAGACGGCAGTCTCCGTGAGGAGCTGCCGTCCCTGTTATTAATAAATAATTTTAAACCTGCATCGGTTCTCCGCCTCCTTCTTCTCGGCGGCCAAAGGGCCGTGAACTTTATTACAGTGGTGCCGAAGCCCGGGAAAAGGAGGGACGCGTTGTCCAGATGCCCTCGCCGCTGAGAGAGGGGGCGAGTGTTCGGGAGTTAACCCGAGTGGGGGAGAAACCCGTTCGTCTGCCCAGAGTGCCAGGGCGGCCTGAGGCTGGCGAGGAAAGGATCTGCCTGCTGCCGTCTCCCAGCATAGGGAGGAGCAGGGGACGCGGGGCTCACCACCGGAGGGGAAAGTGCTGAAGGGAGCCATCCCACAGAACCCGGGGGAGTCGCCGCGATCCGCCATGATGCCAGAGCCTGCATCCGTCCACCGAAGCGGGAGCGGAGCAGGAGACTAGAAATGCCGCCAGCCAGCCAGGAGAACCGCCACCGGATGCCAGAAGACGGACGGGTGGATAGATTCCTCCACAGGACTCCCAGCACGTCGCATCTCTCAGTTGGTGGAGGACCGAGTGGCAGCGTGTCTGGAGAACCGAAACTCAATTTTTATTTATTTTTTCCTCTCTCCCCTTTCTCGGTCTACTCTGTCTTTCCTCCTTTTTTTTCCATCTTCTTTTCTTTCTGCCTGTCTCATATAAGTCTCGCGGGTGCTGTGGCGCGCCAACCCCCGCGTCTCCGTGAGGAGCTGCCGTCCGTTTGTTTTGGTTTAGACGGCAGTCTCCGTGAGGAGCTGCCGTCCCTGTTATTAATAAATCATTTTATACCTGCATCGGTTCTCCGCCTCCTTCTTCCCGGCGGCCAAAGGGCCGTGAATTTATTACAGTGTGGTGCAAGGCAATGACAGTGCATTCGTCATGAGTGGTAAGTAGGAGTGTCACAAGATTAAATCGCGACGAGATTTCTCGTTGGGATGTCTGGGAATTGACAATATAAGTTTAATGGAGAAGGTCAAAGTTTTGTTGAGTGAACCGTCAAAAAACATGCAACCTAAGTTGATTGACTAATCCAAATTGGCATCATAGATATGCTCCTAGTTAATGGTTATCTCTTAAGAGCAATCACTTTCTGTTCATTAGCTTATACAGCAGGGGAGTTCTCGAGATCTACCTGAGCTCAAACTCCCCTCTCGCCTTGCAATTGGGAGGGAGCCCCGGGCTTTAGGATCTTATCAGGGCTTTCTCCTGGGACAGCATGCCAAACAAGGTTTATAATCAATCGTCAGCTAAGTGTGAACTCTTGAAATAAATATGTTGTAATTATGATGTTGTTCTTCTTGCTGTGAGGCGACGGTGCTAACCACTGGGCTACCGCACCACATTACTTACCTTAAGTAAATGAATTAAATTACTATTTTAAAGTCTGTAAATGCAAATTTCAGAAAAGAAGTAGGTATCTGAGAATAATCTGACAAACACACACAACATTACAATGAGAACACTGCAGTCAATGTTGCCAGATACAGCCCAAACTGTCTCTCCCCCCCCCCCCCCCCCCCAAAAAAAAAAAAAAACACCTGAAAGCTAAAGATGAGTAGGTCCATACGCTTGGATTTTGTTCTTTTGGCATTGGGGCTTGCTGCTCAGTCTATTACTGACCTCACTTGTACTCCTGCCTGTCACTAGTGTGCTATATTCCAAGATGGCCACTGCCAGTTATCTAGTCCACAAAATTGCAGTACCTGCTGCCAGTCTTTACACACATAAAAGCACCTCACACACACTCAGTCGCTGCTAAGTCTTTCACCAATGGCTTGCTTGGTTTGGAACTTGAGGAGCTGCGCAGTGTTTATACTTTAGGCAGTGAAAATTAAACCACGCTGAACTGAACTAAACTTTGAAAACTGGGCTGACACTGTTTCAATTTACTAAAACTTATATGTTAAGCTGCTTATGGCCCGTTTCCACTGAGTGGTACGGTACGGTACGGTTCAGTTTGGTACGTTTTTATGGCCGTTTCCACTGTCAAAAAGCGTACCGTTCCAAACCGTACCGTACCACTTTTTTGGCACCTTTCGTAAGGGTCCCAAACACAAGAAAGGGTACCAAAAGGCGGAGCTAGACGCGCAGCTGAACGCTATTGGTTTACAGAGATACGTCATTCGCTTACGCAACAAGCCAGAATGTGAACAAAGGACTCGCCATGTTTGAAATACACAGCGAGAGATTACTTGCGCTCGCCTTGCGTCTATATCTGAAATAACTAACTTCTTGAGCTGATGATAATAATGTGCGCTTGATTATTGACAAGCTTTGGAAACCCGATCCTGTGACAAACGTGATAGTGGAGCGTGGAAGAAAATGGAAAGCCAAGGAGCACGTTATTTCTTCAGCAAACATGAACAAACTGCCGTGTTTTAATTTTTATCATCACCTTTTGGACTAATATGAACTGGGAAGGATGGAATTACTCTCTAACAGAGGCTATATGTGCTGCTGAAGATTACAGACACAGATGAAAGGTTTTCGCTGACTGTAGGCTATACTTTGTGTTGTTTTGAACCTAATTAAGGACTAAATGTATGTTGTGTGTACTTTTTCTGTAGTTGGTAACATCGGGGTCTGTATGTGTTCATATATGTTCATTTATTTATTTATTTATTTAAAATAATTACAGATTAATAATTACAGTAGGCTATTTCGCCTTTATTGATCTGCAGTTATAATCAAACCATGTTCATAGAAAAGTTAGTAATAAACATTTATACAGAAGTATTTATGTGTGTGATATGTGAACGACCTGTGCAGCTTTACTATAAACATTTTCTCGAGCGAGCATGACGTCGACTGAAACTTTGTCATACACCACGCCCACCAAAAGGGTACCCTTGCTAGTGGAAATGCAAGTCTGATAAAGGTCCGTAAAGGACCCACACCGGCCCAAACCGTACCGTACTGTACCAGTCAGTGGAAACGAGCCATAAGACACAATCTACATTTTATAAAATAAAGATGAATTGAAATCAAGATGGATTGAATTGTTACTGTTATGTGCAGTACTAAGCATTTCTTGTTTCATTGTTCTATTGCCCTGTTTCCTGCTGAAAAATCCAGCTTAAACCAGCCTAGGCTGGTTGGCTGGTTTTAGCTAGTTGACCAGCCTGGTTTTAGAGGGGTTTTGGCCATTTCCAGTCTGTTTTTTTTTCAGTAGGGTTATGCTTTTGATCTTGGACTGTTTCTTGTTTTTTTTTATTTGCTGCCTGCCTCCACCTCGGCCTGGATTTTGGATTACTCTTTCCGGATTATCTTTGACATAGTTGTTTGCTACTGTTTTGACCTTTTGCTGTCAGACCATTCTTCAATAAAGCTGCAACGGTAACCCTGTTGTATGCTCTCATATCTTACACATACATAGCCTTTAAATTGGGAGTGTAAGGATTTTATTGATATATGGCCTTTAAAAATGTTCAAGAGAATGACAACACAGCCTATAAAATATCTAAGCAGAATTGTTCAATGACAGATCTTTAAGAGTTGGGGTGCTTTCACACCTACACTTTTGTTTCGAAACCTGTCTCGTTTGCCCAGTCAGCGCGGTTCGTTTGGCATATGTGAACATATGTGTTCGCGCTCTTATCCGCGCCAAAGTAATCGCTCTGAGACCGCTTGCTCGATTGAAACAAACCCTGGAGCGGTTTGATTGCAGTGAGAAAGCGATCCGATCCGAGCACGGTTATATCACAGTGTTTTATGGATATGTAATAGGCATACGGCTATATGAAGAGAGAATTATGAGTAGGGCGGGAAGTTTCACGAGTCTCCAGATGCCTGCGAACGAGTGATGATCTCCCGGTAATCTCGCGTCTCCCTCCCGGTCCTCAAATAGGCATCATCGCGCACCCTTCTCACCCCTCCCCACCGCATCTCTCCTCAGACACGGCGGGCGCGCACCCTGTCAATCACTATCAAACCCCCACCTCTCCTGACAGCTGAGTGGGACGCTGCAAAATAAACCCTGACACTCTGACCAATGTGAGGAGAGTTTACTCGCACGTGACTTGTTTTAGCTCTTCTGGTCTGATTAGAAACTTTGCAGTGTGAAAGCGAACCGCTCCAAGAGCAAAGAGCAACAATGTAACATTTGTAATTTCTGTTTCGGAACAATCGAATCGATTCACAAGTGTGAAAGCACCCTTAAAATAATCTTAGCATATAATGCAGCAGTCATATAACTGGATTGTGCGCTGTCAAATATGATAAATGCAGGCATTATCACTGATACAGTTATCATCATAGGTAGCTTTATTCTTATTTAGGCCAACATTCATTGCTAATTGCTGGACTTTTATTTGGCTTGGCTAATCTCAAGGGCCCTCTATGTTTTCTGTTGTTATAACGGAGTTCAAAGTTTGCCAGTAAACACACTAAGTAGCACTCAAGGGGCACAGGCCTAAGATTAAATTGGACCATTAAGTACAGCTGACATCACTGAGGGCCAATTATCTTATGTTTGTAATAATTTAAAACTTTAACCGATCAAAAATAATATACAAGACCTGTGTTTTGGGTCAGTTGCTGATTGTTTAAGTCACAACATGCTTTAAAACAAAATAGATAATGACATGTCAGTACTGTAATCTGTATTCAGTGATAAATAATTACACAATGCAGCTAATAAAATCATATTCAAAAATGTATTTTATTTAGTAAATTGCTTTTAGCCTGACTACAGTTAATTATCCCTTCCTATAAAGAGTTCAGATGCAAAAGCCGTTAAACGCCACTTCCGCCAAAAAATGGTTAATGCCATAGAGTGAATGCTTTAGGCACATACTACACCATCAACAAATAGATTTGCTTTAAATCATCTAAATCCTAGCGTCAGCGCATTCAGAAATAACTGTTGGTTGCAAAAGCTGCTATACACCACTTGCCTTTGACAGCAAAAGCCGTTATATCCCGAGAACTAATCAGAGGCGCGAATCATTTCGATTTTAAAAGACGGAGTTTGATGAACTGGATGAGACTGTCCGACTGTCAGGGAATGGCAAATGAAACTATTTACTATACAATAAACAGCAACTCATTTTCACGAAAGACAGAGTTAAGTTAAATGGTCACACTTTACAATAAGGTTTATTAGTTAATAAGGTAATATTAGGTAATAATAAATAAATGTATTAACTAACATGAACAAACAATGAACAATACATTTACTACAGTATTTATTCATGTTAGTAAACGTTAGTTAATGAAAATACAGTTGTTTATCATTAGTTCGTTAACTCATGGTGCATTAACTAATGTTAACAAGCACGGACTTGGATGTTAATAATGCATTAGTAAATGTTCAAGTATGATTAATAAACGCTGTACAAGTGTTGTTCATGATTAGTTAATGTTAGTAAATGCATTGACTAATGAACCTTATTGTAAAGTGATACCAGTTAAATGTATGTGTGTGTGTGTGTGTGTGTATATGTATATATATATATATATATACATACACACACACACAGGGGAATTGTGTGAATGTCTGTGTGTGGATGTTTCCCAACGATGGGTTAAGACTGGAAGAGCATCCGCTGCATAAAAACGTGCTGGATAAGTTGGTGGTTCATTCTGCTGTGGCGACCCCGGATTAATAATGGGACTAAGCTGAAAAGAAAATGAATGAATGAATGAATGAATGAATAAAACTTGCTTATACAGAAAGAAGGGCACAAACATACACCCCACACCAATGATGTTCAGGTACTGAGATGTTGTTTTTCTGAATCACACATATTTATACAAGAGTTTCTAGACAGATTTTATAAACGAGTTTTCTAGCATCTTCAACATCAAACATAATCTAATTAGTAGATTATTGCTTCTGTAATAATTTTACTGTTGTGGAAACTGTCAAACTATACAAAATGCAAACTATTTGAAAAATAACTTAGAAACTCCAGTTTCAGTAAGTAAACTTCATGGCCATCTCTATTTGCTAACAATAATACACAGCAAAACTATATTGAGCGATATAAAGTTCCTTATATTCTCAGTGTTATTATCTTATACTAAATTAACGCTGTCTATCTGATTTTTTTGTGTGATCATACGAGTATACTACTGTTTTGCTTCAGCAGCATTAACAACATTATTTCCAAGTTTCTATTTCTATACCAACATTTATTGACAACTGAGAAGCCATCAGATCAGAAGAGTACACACATATTTACAGTATTATACCTTGCAGTTAGGTTAAACAAGTTGCAAAAGAAGTGGTTGTTACTGTAATTGGTAGCTAGCATGACTGCTTATAATGGTCTCATTCATTCATTCATTTTCTTGTCGGTTTAGTCCCTTTATTAGTCTGGGGTCGCCACAGCGGAATGAACCGCCAACTCATCCAGCAAGTTTTTACGCAGCGGATGCCCTTCCAGCCGCAACCCATCTCTGGGAAACATCCACACACATTCACTACAGACAATTTGGCCTACCCATTTCACCTGTACCGCATTTCTTTGGACTGTGGGGGAAACCGGAGCACCTGGAGGAAACCCATGCGAATGCAGGGAGAATATGCAAACTCCACACAGAAACGCCAACAGAGCCAAGGCTTGAACCAGCGACCAAGCAACCTTCTTGCTGTGAGGCGACAGCACTACCTACTGCGCCACTGCCTCGCCCCATATGCATATAAACTTCGGAAATTTAATAGTCAATGGATTTCAATGGATCAATGTTTTTACATCGAAACTCAAGGATATAATTCATTTTCAATGTCTAATATAACTTCAGAATTGTACAAAAATTACATCCACAGAAATTACCATAAAAATGCCATTTGTCTGCAAATTAGGTTTTTTGTTTTTATATTTTTTAAATAGACAGGCTCCCTGATATATAAATCAAAACTTTAATCCAAAAAAACACTAGACAATGCTTAGGCATAGTACTGAAATTACACAGGTACTGTACATCATACAAACTAACAACATACAATTCCCTTTGTGTACAATGAATTGGAATGGAAAAGTTAATATGAACCAACCTTGTTTTTGGATAAATATTTAACAATCTGAGCTTTGATTTCCTTTGTTCTTATTCCATAGATAACAGGATTAAAGAAGTTTGTAAAAAGTAGATATGACATGGTGCATAACACACGGATATCTCTTGGTATCGAAGACACCCTATAGCCAACATATGCAACCACACAACTACAATAGGCCACCACCATGACCATTAAATGCGTGCTGCATGTATTGATGGCTTTTTGTCGCGAATCACCAGGAGGAGAGCGGAATATGATGACAAAAATAACAATGTAAGAGCACATAATAAATACGCAATCGCCTGTTACTATGCTGAAAGCCACTGTTCCAGCCGCGTAGTTCTTGCTCACATCACCACAGGCTATACTGACAACTGATGTATGCTCACAAACACAATGGTAAATAACATTTGTTTTACAAAATTGGAGTGGCGCAATTAAACCCACCATTGAAACAACAACCACCAAGTTGCGCAAAAAAAGAGCCAAACCGAATATCAATGATGTTTTCAAGTTAACATAGTAGTGGTACTGTAAGGGGAATGTGATGGCGAAAAATCTGTCGACTGCCATCGCAACCAAAACCGTCGACTGGAAACAACCTGCCATATGCAGACAAAACATTTGAACAAGACATTCACTTTTGTAAATCATATTTCTACCAAAGAGAAAGCTGATTAATATTCTTGGAATAGCAAATATTGGTTGTAAAAACCCAAGAGCTGCGACAAACCCAATCAGAATGTACATGGGCGCATGCAGCTTGCTTTCTTTCACTATCACCAGGATTATAATTGAGTTAGTAAACAATGTGAAAGCAAAGATGAGGAAAAAAGGAATGAAAAGATATCGCCGATAGTCTTGCAGATCCGTGAACCCAATCAAGTAGAACTCCTGATAAGAGATGTTGAACGTTTTGTCCTCCATTTCTTAGATCAAAGGTCACTGTAAAGACAAAACTGGTTACAGTTAATGCACAGAAAACATGTCTGCAGAAATAAACAGTTTAAGATAAAGTTAAGCAAGACTTTAGAATTACATTTCAAAGTATCCTGAGATGTTGTTGCATTGATGGGATCAATTAAGTATTAGATCAACAAATATATTTCTCTTGTTTTTCATGTCTGTAAAATTAAACCTAAACTCTATAACACATGCTGACATGCCTTTTAAATTGTGTTTTTTTAACCAGCAGTTTACCCCCCTCTTCTAATTTAGGTTAAGGCACTCTGCTTTAAATATCCCAAACTCCCCTCCCCTGATAGAGTGTTAGGACAATGACTTACCATTATTTTACTTGCGGTTTGCTGTAGTTCTCCAAAATGGGTTTGGCTTGTGGCCAGTTCATTTTTGGAGAGACAAAAGAAGTTATTCAATCTCAACAGACCTTACTGTTTAAGGTCAAATGGGTGCTAAAAACTTAGTTGAAAGCATATCATAGGATTAAAAACATTAGATATTTTAACTCACTCATATATAACTTTGAAAAATCAAAGTAAAGGAAGAAAATAAAAATTAGCAATGTGCCAAAGAAACTCCTTTATTGGCATTGTTAGATGATGTATCTAAAAATGATTGACTTCTCAGCTTGTATTCTGACTTAAATATGATCAGAAATGTTTTAAATAAAATAAAACACTTTACAGCAATGTTTCGACTGTTATTATTATCCACTACAGTAGTTAACAAGAACCAGAGGTCGCCCATCTAGTCCTGAAGAGTCAGTTTCATCCAGAGTGTAGCTCTAACACACTTTTGAATATTTTAGTGAGCCTGAAGACCTTTAAGGTATGTTTAAAGGTGCAGTATGAAAGTTTGACACCCAGTGATTGAACTAGGTATTACATTCCTGGATCAAAACAAACGCAAGCGCAGGTTGCCAGATTGAAGGAACAAGTCTGACAATTTAGCCTGAAGGCTGATTTAAGTTGTGTTCTAAATAAAAGCAAAGGCATGCGATAGAAGGAATATTTTCCACATTAAAAGACATTTTTTGTTCTAACCAACACCTTGAATTGATTTGTTAGAATCTTGCAACTGAACAACAGAAAGCTGACATGATCACTTCGGGTACACCTCATGTGCTTTATTCAGGGTTAAATGCTAACAATGTGAGTTTGACTGCCATTTTACATTAAATGTATTGCTATACTACTGAAAGCAGCTGCTCACCTTATGTTTATGCTCTTATTGTTTATATTATTTGCTAATTATTAACCTCATGTGGAACTCTGAATCTGCGTCTCATCTCGGAGTCTGCTACTGTTCACCAGAGGCCATATTTCAATCACAGACGCATGCTTTGAGAGACTTTCTGAATCGTTGGAGTGAAACTCTTACAGCATATCAAGTTAATGTTAATTCACTAGTGTTTTATTAAAATCAACTGTTTTAATATTTAATGAAGCTGAGCCGACATGAACTTGAATAGCGATATTTCTACAAACTAATTTTCAAAAAGATTGATAGTGACAAATTTAAATAATTGTAAAGTGTTAACTAAGCATGTCCTATGTAAAGTTGAGATCAGAATTATTAGCCCCCTTCAATTCCGTGTGCTTCGATTCTTTTTTTAAAAAATATTTTCCAAATGATGTTTAACAGAGCAAGGAGTTTTTCACAGTATGTCTGAAATAGGACTTTCTCAAGAAGAAAAAATATTATGTTTTATTTCGGCTAGATTAAAAGCAGTTTTGAATTTTTTATGAACCATTTTAGGGACAAAATTATTAGCCCCTTTAAGCTATATTTTTTCTCGATAATCTACAGAACAAACCACTGTTATACAATAACTTGCCTAATTTCCCTAACCTGCCTAGTTAACTTAATTAACCTAGCTAAGATTTGAAATATCACTTTAAGCTGTATAGAAGTGTCTTGAAAAATATCTAGTTGAATATTATTTACAGTCATCATGGTAAAAATATAATAAATCAGTTTTTAGAAATGAGTTATTAAAATTATTATGTTTAGAAATGTGTTGAAAAAAATCTTCTCTCCGTTAAACAGAAATTGGGGAAAAAATAAACAAGCGGTCTAATAATTTAGGGGGCTAATAATTCTGACTTCAACTGTACATGTTCTGATCAGATAAATGTTTTCGTTTATAAAGAAAAATGAAAGTACTTTTAATTTAACATTTTGAATAATGTTTCATAATTACTGGTCAATTTATACTATTGAATTATTATATTTATATTATTAACACATGCAGCCTATAGTTAAATACATTACATAAACATGTTTGTGCAAATTACTTGTGCTCTTTAAAATGGATATCTTTTATATAAACATCACATTTTATACCACAGTAGTTGGTATAACTTAAATGTGTTTTCTTTTCATTAATGTGATTATTACTTTAGTGTAAAATTGGAGGTTGCAAAATTTGGAATATGTTTCCATCACTTGTGATCAGAACAAGGACAGCACATTCCCAACTGTAGATTCAATGTCTATTGACCAAAACAATGAAAGGTCTCGCTGTTCTAAGCTGCGCGTTCTGTTTTGATCATTAATTTTAATTGTTAACAACAAACTTCTCATTAAACAGTTGCTGCACACATGGGGCCCTCTATGTAATGACCCTGTGTCTTTAATGTAGTTTGGTCTGGCTGATTCCTGTAAACAATTTTACTCCACTATCACTTGGTGTCTCAGCATAGCATGACTCATACATAGCAAGATGTATCCACTATAAGTGGTGATTTAATTAGCTTCATACTAACTAAGAGTGGTCTTCGTTTTTAAAGCTTAAGGGATCTCTGATGTTCCCTGGGTTCATCTGTTTTCGCAGATCCAACAATTTCCAGGGAAATATAGATTAGATACATCACAGACACTGGTGTGATTAGACAGAATTGGGATTTAACTAAACACCTAGATCAACTCAATTTATGATTCAATGATTAGAATAGTGCTGTTTATGCTTAATATTTAAAATGGCCACTTTTTTACTTTAAAATTTGTCTCAGAAATGTACCTGTGTGTTCAGAAATAAATAAAATAGCATATCATTTTCATTTAAAATAGAAAAAAAAAAACACTATCTTCCTAGAAGGGCGATACTTGTGGCAAAATACACATATTGGTTGACCCTGTCTTTCCAAACCCTTGAAAGCAATATATTTGGATTAAAAAGTTGGGAAGAATTCTGTTAGAGGGGAGATAAAGGTTAACCCAATTGTAGACGCTATTTTCGATAAATAGATACACATTTAAGTTTACCTATGGGAAAGACATACTGTCACGGTTGCAGGTTTGTGCGCTCTCCCGGAGTGTCTGCTTGATCACGTGTCATGACTGCACTCAACTAGCTTGATTAGTTCGCCAGCTGAGGCTCATATTCGTGCCTATATATGGGCGACGTTTTCTGTGTGTCCTTGTCAGTTTGTTACGTGTGCTTATGTGTGCTATGTATGGCAAGCCGTTTTAACTTTTTTTCCTTATCAGGATATGTATTCTTCATATCAACAATTCAATTTTTGATATCAACAATTAACATTCTTGATTTCAACAATTCAGTTCTTGATATCAACAATTTAATTTTTGATATCAACAATTACATTTTTGATATCAACAATTACATTTTTGATATCAACAATTCAATTTTCACTAGTAATAATTGTTATTTCAGATCTCACAAATTGCTTTTTGGATATGTGCATATATAAATTCATCAATATGTCATAATCTGCAATTATATTTCAACACGTTAAAATTGTTATTTCTGATACCTAAAATTGTATTTTTGATATCAACAATTAGGGAATTAATTTTTGATATCTAAAATGACTAATTTCACTAGTAACAATTACATTCATGATATCAGAAATTAACATTTTCACTAGTGAAAAAAGAATTGTTGATATCAAAAATGAGCATCTTTACTAGTTGAAAATTATTTTTTGATATCAACAATGTAATTCTTAATATCAACAATTACATTTTTCATATCAACAATTAAATTATTGATATCAAGAAGTTCATTTTCACTAGTAAAAACTCAATTCTTGATATCAACAATTAATGTTGAATGGCAGCCTATGGTGACTTTTAACTAGTGAAAATGTAATTGTTGATATTAAAAATGTAATTGTTGATATCAAAAATTAAATTGTTGATATCAAGAATGTAATTGTTGATATAAAAAATTTAATTGTTGATATGAATAATACATATCCTGAGAAGGAATAAAAGTTAAAACGGCTTGCCATAATATCTGTCTGTGCTCAGGATTGTGAGGAGTTTCTACTGGACTCTGTTTCCTGCCTGATACCTGCCCTGTTTCTTCTAGTCCTAGCGCCACACTCATTCTTTGCATTTGTTCTGACTGTGTCAATAAATTATTTTTGTTCACTCACACTTGGATCTATCAGAACATTTCTTTGACTGTGACACATACAGTATACAGTACTCTGTAAAAATCTATACCTTTAGTCACATTACACCCTGCTTTCAAAAGACATTCAGGATAAAGTTGTAGAAAGGCACAGTTTAGGAGAATGCTACAAAAACTGTTCAAAAGCTGATAAAGTTATTTGAAAATGAATTTGATTTTAGGCTGTTTGGCAAATAAATAATTTTTTTTCAAAGGAGGTTATTATAATTTTCTGTAGGCACTGTACACTGGCACCAAGAGAGTTAGCCAGTGGCCATACACTCACCTTCTGGACAATCTCCTCTGCTGAGTCCAATGTTAGAGGTTCACAAGTTAATCAAATTATTTCATTAATGAAAAAATTAAGTTTTAACAAATGTATTGTTTCAAGAGTTCACACTTAGATATTGCTTTACACCATTTGCTTGATTGGTACAGTATGCTGTCCTAAGGGAGAAGTCTGAGGCCTCGTTTACACTAGTACGTTTTAGTTTTCAAACTGCGTTTTAGATTAAAAATGATCCGCGTCCACACTAGTGTTTCACAGCAACTCTCCGTCTACACCAAACCACTGAAAACGCACATCATGTGACCCCCCACACACATGCGGTGCAACATATCTAGCCAGATGAGAGCTGTGCTCTTTGGACTTCATCAAGGATCAGCCGCTGGATCCAATCTCACTATACTTGTTAAACGTGATATTTAATGCATCTTGTTGTCTCTATCTAACAACATATTCCCCGACTTCAATCTTCTGAATCTATTACTAGTTCTCAGGTAATGTGTTAGGACTGAGCGCAAAGATAAGTTAATAATCAATGGAACCACGTACATTCTGTATATTGACTGATTATTTGCTTTTATTTCCTGTAATGTATAAACTCATTGTACGTTATACTTTTATAATGGCCATTATTGATTGTTAAAACTGATATTCAGCAAAAGAGAGGGTATGCTTTGTATTTTCAATGAAAATGAAAGGAGGCAGTAATGTTATAGGCTCCGTTTTGTTATAAATATGCATACAGTGAAGATGACGCTCATATATGCAGCACAACGCCTCAACATTTCTGATGTCTTTTAAGTTAATATCTAAATGAAAATAGTAGTGCCTTATATCATGACTTCATTTTATTGTTAAGATAGTGAAACAACGCACCTATCCAGGATGATGTGAATAAGGTTATAAAGTACACTGACCCCTTTGAAGATTTACTCGACTTGTCCTCGGGAGTCTGTTTTACATATCAAACTTGCGAAGTCTGAACTTAAAAGGAGAGGATGCAGGACTGAACAGTGTGTAGTCTACTTAATATTGATGAAAAGCCCTAATTAGAGAAGCGGATGTCTGCAGCCCTGCCTCCGTTTTCAGATGTCTCCATTTTTCCCCATTAGCACTGAGATGGAGAAGCAACATTTTAGAACAAAAAAAGGCCTCTTTCGCGTTTTCAAAACGCTCTGTTTTCTGCGCTCGAAAACTCCGATGTAGTGTAGACGGATGGCGTAACCGTAGAAAAACTTGTGCTTTTTTTAAAACGAAAACGCATTAGTGTGAAAAGGTTCTGAGCTCAGATGATTGCCTAATAACCTAATAACAGTTATTAAGTGACGAACCTGCCCAACCTGGCCACGTCCGCGGGAGACCATCTGCGTTGCCGTGGGTTGTTCCTGGAAGATGTTGGACCCTATAGTGCAGGGGTGGCCAACCCTGTTCCTGGAGAGCCACCTTCCTGCAGATTTCAGTTGCTACCCATATCAAACACACCTGAACCAATTAATTAGGACCTGAACACCATGTTTTTGATATGGGTTTCAACTGAAATCTGCAGGAAGGTGGCTCTCCAGGAACAGGGTTTTCCACATCTTGCAGTGAGGCTAACGTGCTACCCACTGCGCTACCGTGCTACCCAATTAAAAAATGAATTATTGTAATACTCTATTGTTTATATGAAAAATGCTATCATTGCTTTGAGTCATTTCATATTTTGATACATTGTTTAACTTTGCAGTGTAATTCTATTTAACCGAATGTTATATTTTTTAAATTAATTTGTTAATTGTATTGTAATTGTGTTGATGTTTATATCGATTTTAAGAACTAAGTTAGGTAGTTAAATTCCTCATTGTGTAAAACTTGACTTAGTAAGTGGAAAAATAAGTTAAACAAAATTTTTATGATGTAATTAGTTATAAGTAGGCTCACACAGAATCTGCCCGTGCAGATTTCTTTAGATTTTTAGCCCATCATTGATTCTGTTTACTTGTGTAAATTTATACCTATTCGGTTTTTAAATTAATTACAGTAATATAATTGACTAATATGAAAATATGACTGATTTTTTAAACAATACAGTTCGTAAAGTCATATTTTCGGTCCTTTAGTAGATGTATTATAAGAGAGACTTGCTTTGTTTACCAAATAAAGTGGATCTAATTGGATTTGCATTGTAAACATTAAATAAAAGTTAAAAAGCTATTATTTTTTTATTTCATATATTAAGGTTTTAGTTATGATACTCCCAAATAGTTTTTTTTTTTATACGCTAACTTACCCAACAATGGTTAGGCAAAGGATTATGGAG